GCTTCTTGTTTTCCTTCTTCCTTTTGTTTCCTAACCCTTTCAAGAGACTCTTCCCTCCTGATCAAATTAGCAGATAATTGATGTTTGAAATCATTTTTTGTACAGACCATAAAGGTCTGTTCATGGGCAGTCTCAGGATCCTGTAGGCCGATCCAAGATGACCCCCCACGACTGAAAAAAATGGACGGCCTCCATCCTATGCAAGAATGGAGTTCCCAGGATACAGTCATGGTCCAGATCTGGCACTACAAAACTCTGTAATTCCACAGTCATCGTCCTAACTCGAATAGGCAAATTGTCTATAAACCCCTGCCACAAACAATCCCCCTGCAATATTGCTCAGTACGTTTTGGGCAGGCCTATCAATAGTCAAGTTACATGCCTCCATCGTTCTTCGTGAAAGAAGTATCATCTCTGCCTCATAATCCACTCGGGCTAGAATCTTCACTTGATTAATGCGAATTGTAAGGTGCCCACATCCCATGGTTGCAAATCTCATCTTGCAACCTGGTAGTGATCTATTCACTTGATTGGGAAAGACTGGCCCCAAATAATTAACTTCCAATTTTTTCTTCTCAATTAATTTCTTCAACTCTTCTCTCAGTTTGGGTGTCAGTGTCATTGCTTCCTTGAAAGACAATGTCACTTTCGTTTCTTCCAACATTTTAACAATTACTTCAGAAATCACTGTCCTATCATCCTATTCACTCTTGAGAATAAATTTTCTTTTTCTCCCCTCTTCATTCTTTTCCTGTGAGCGTTCATGTTCAGGGTCATCAAGGATGTTAATAAGTGACTCCTTAACCTTCTTTCTTTTCTTTTCTTCTATCATTTGAGGCGTCATACGGGTTTGGTGGTTCCTCACTTCACCAATCCTGACACTAGGTTCCGTAACGAGTTCTGGTGGGAAATTGCCATGAAACGACACCATGTTGGTCAGAAAGTGAACCATCTCATTAGAAGAAGACTCTACTAATTCAGAAAAATTCAAAAAAGTAAGATTTTCTTCTAGTGGAGGCTCACTCGTAGAAGCCTCACTACGCTCACACTCTGTCAACGTAAAAGATTGCAGAGACAGTTCTACCGTAGTATGAGAATCACTTGTTCCCTGTACTAACTCATTAGGCAATTCTTAAATGAGAAAATGAACATTCACATTGGTCTTTCTCTTCTTCTTAATCTTTATTTTTTCATCATGTTTAAGAGCAAGAAGCCTCATACCTCCTGGATGTCTGGGATCCAACTTATTCCATGAACGATCACAGACATGACCCATTGCATCTTTCTTTGCTACCCTACTCCTTACATCCTCCTCAAGAGGCTTGCAATAGGGGGTAGTGTGACCCCTTCACCACATTAGTAGCAGATAAAACTCCTCTTAGGACGCTCATCATATTTTTTTCTCGCTCTGTTTCCTCCATCACCATTCTTTCCGTTCCTTTTGGATCAGGATGAATCCTCTTTCTTACCATAACCTTCGTTGTCATCATTATCATTGTCATCTTCCTCACTTTCAACTTTTTTCTTTCCTCTGTCATCCACAGCATGCGTTGCAGGCCTTGCAGGTATAAAGTTAGCCATCACTTTTTGAAGAATATTTTGAGTAGTCAGATTGCTTCATCTATTCATTCCATTCTCGGTCTCCCAATCCTTGGCCAAAGTACTGATCTGATCCAGTGACCATTTCTTATGGGAGACAGTAGGTAGAGTTCTTATCATTGCAACCATTTCATCCCATCTAAGAGGATAGTGCTGAGCTTGATTAAGAACTGTTTGCCTTTCAGTGTCAGTAAAATTTGTCAAAAATATATGGCATCTTTGAGCTTCATCCAAGTAAGGAATTTTTCTTGTTGTTCGTATAAAAGTCTGAAGAAAAACATTAAAAGTGTCATATTTAGCTCTTATGATATTGAGTAAGTCCTTAGTTGTTGTTGGAACTGAATCTTTCTCAAACTCCTTTTTCAGTCTTTCCTTGACCTTTTCCCAGGTAGTGGCACCTTCCATTAGCTCCTGAACCGCCATTCTTGAGTCAGTATCACAATAAGATAGAAGGTGCTTAAACCTTGTTGGAACTGAATTTTTTCTCAAATTCATTTTTCAGTCTTTCCTTGACCTCTTCCCAGGTAGTGGCACCTTCCATTAGTTTCTGAACCGCCAGTCTTGAGTCAGTATCACAATAAGATAGAAGATGCTTAAACCGTTGCTTGTCTGTCTAGCCATAACTAAGTCCAAATAATTCATATTCGTCCAAGAAATCATTAACCTGAGGCCCTCTGAAACATAGAATCCTCTCATCTGGTCTCTTTGCTCTTACAATATCTGACCCTCCTTTTATAGTGTCTACTCTCTTGACCAGTTCCCATATAACCCCAACCAAGACTTTTTCATTGGTCCCGGCAGATGAACTCGGTCTTCCTCGTCCTACCATTTTGACCATAGATTCTTCCCAGATAATATTTTCTTTCTTCCTGTCACTCTTGTCCTCTCCTTCCTTACCCCTCAGTCTCTCACTCTTCTAGCAAGGGATACAGGCTCGTTTCTTTCTTCTCTTGTCTGCTCTACCCCCTTATAATTTTGTGCATATAGGGTATAAACAATAATTGATTGGGCAGTGATCAAGGGCAGTGCWATCCTTCTCAGCCTTCCAATGTAATCTTCAATCAATTCTCTTTCATCATCYCTACTCAATCTTCTATTATACCCTTTTATAGTACCCYGAATCATAAAATATCGAGTCAGGTCTATAATCTCATAATCAAATTGCATCGTTTACGGCCCACTATTAATCCTTCTTGCAAGAGAGACCCGTTCCTGAAAAGTGTGATATGATACTCTCTCTGTAGTTCYCACTTTCACCACCTTTAACAGATAGYTTATCTCAGTTTGGTCAATGATAATTCTCAAGGCAAAATCTCTCATGCGATCTAAGAAAGACTGCAAAAACTCAAACTCATACAGGGTACAAAGATTCCTCTCAGAGATCCGAAGAGTCCCTTCTACCTTGACTATTCTACCTTCCAACACAACTCCCAGTGTCAGCTGTTCAATCAAGCTGGGCATCGTTAAACATCATAAACAATATCTGAAAGGTAGATCTCAAGTTGAATATAATCAGGGATCTCGAATCTGTGTTCAAAGGCATTCAAAAGTAGGGATTTTATCATCATAGTGGAGTTTTTTCTCTTGCTCTACCAATATCAGCAGTAGCTTCCAACGAAAGCATCCAATCTCTGTTGCCTTCAAATCCCTTAGCAATTGAGAACTAAGGAAACCTCTCAAATTGTCGTACTTCTTTCCCCCAGGTTACTTTTCTTTTTAACTTTTGAAGTCATTCCTTGGTTCTTATGAGACTAATATAACCACCTGTTTGACAAATCAAGTAGTCATCTTCCTTTCTAGGCCTGCGGGTACATAAATCYGTACGTCCAGGCTGCTAGTACTAAGAAATTTTACCACTGCAATGTGAAATATTATGGGCCCTCTTACACAAGTTTCATATCTCAGGATCACAAAGGAGTTATCACACCCTATCACCTCATATAGTTTACCCCTCACAGTAGTTACCCTAACTACCGGGAGTATTCTTTTTGACTCTCTTCACTTTCCATGCAAGCTTTATCATGGCATACCAATTGTCTTTAGATAGATTAATATCAGGTAAAGGAGGGACAGATGGTCCATAAAAAATAGTAAATTGAGTAGATCCAGTGAAGCATTTATTATCTCTCTCAAACCTCTCTTTCTCTTTCAGTACTACCTCTTCAGCAAATCCTCAGCATCTCTCATACACTGCATCAGCACTTCTTTCTTTTGGACCATAGATTCTCACATCATACACATCCAGATCCGTAAAAGAGAATGTCAGTACATATAATCGTTCCTGCTCCCATCTGCTTTCGACCATCTTATATCTGACAACCTCGTATGGGAACACCCCTCTCTTACATAGAGTGTTCAGTGACTTTAGGAGACACTCAACTTCCTCCTGACTTGGGTATGAACCCCTGCCGAATTTCTGCCTTCTCTGTCTGATTTCTTTTACTGAAATCTTTTTAGTTCTCATGACCACCGCTCCTTTTCTCCCTTGTCAATACCATGTTGATTATCGGCAGCCAGTTAGTCTCATCGCAATAACTGTTAGGTATAGGAGGGATTGGAACAGTTTCATATGTCACTGGCATTAAACCCCATTCCACTTTCTTTTTCTGCTTAATTAATTCTGCCTTCTCATCATAAAGAGACTGAATTGCAATTTTCCACAGCCAGTTGAAGGTCTCATAATCGTCACAGTCTCCCTTCTTGACATAAGGACGGATATCATAAGTATCTACCTCCAAGAAGCGAGCCAGCACAACGTTGATGGCCAAATTGCCCGAACGGTAGACCCAACAATGATCATACTAATAAGGGAATATTCCTTTGGTAGTTACTTTCGAAAGTTTTCTCAATACATCTTAAGTTAGCATGTTTGACAAATTCACCGAGTTCTTCATTCTTCCTTTCCCTTCTCAACGTTCAAAAGATATCATAGGCTCATGAGGTGTACCTGAATTCAAGTCTGATTCCCTCCGATCAGTAATATCAATCTCCTTCCTCTAGTCCAGGGTGGTACCTCACACAAGGAAAGAATAAGACACAGTTAGCAGTTGTGATTCTCAAGAGAATCGAGACTCAACGAGAATAATAAATTTAACATAAAGCTTATAATATTATCAACAGTTTTCACGCCCTAATCAAAGCTAAAAAATGATGATGATAACCCAGGCTCGTTCCGGACACGAAAATTTTTTCATGTCCCCAGCAACGGCGTCATTTTTGTCGCACTTTTTTCCAGCCTAGCCACTTTGGGCGACTGGAAAGCCAACAGGCTGTCACGCAGGATTTTATATGTGATTGCAATAAATAAATAAATAAATAAAATAATGCAAATCCCTTCCCGTTGTGTGCGTCCGACTTCGAGCGAGACCCTTCAATTACAGTCTTCGCCAGTCCCCGGTCTTAGGAATCTTTTATTTTGATTTGGAACAGCTGAACATCATGCAAATAACAATCAAAAAATTATGGGATGCTATGCATGCATTCATTACGTCAATCTGATTTTGAGAGCTGTGAGAGAATCATCCACGATGGCAATCCTCAAGCAAAACAATGCAAGAAAGCAGGGTCGACTGACTCGAGTAATGACAGCATCAAATGACTGAGGGAAGAATGAGAACTCATAATAATCTCAGAAAGTACATATAAGCAAGCATGGTCAGCACCTCTCAAGAGTCCTCACTCATCACTCTGGTCAGTCTCTCTCAATCTCTCTTTTCACTCTTCATTTCTGGTGCTGTGACCCACACCCACGTACAATCTCAGATTGAGGCCTCGTGACAAAGAACCACCTGAAGCCAGCAAGCTCTAAACATGATCATCCAAGGTACATGACACGAAAGTTAACCATAGAGCAGAACTCCAACAACGTAGGCAACCCGTCCACTGAGAAGACTCCTCGCCTGAGGTATGGATACTCGGTCGACTCTTTTAGTGCCTCAATGTCGATCACCGCCGGAGGGATATACCTCTTTGCCAAGCCAACCATATCATGCCAGCAAGTGCCATCTGTGAGAAGGGAAGGGACAGGGGGCTTAAGATAGTCCGTATAAAGCTTGGGCCCAAAGCTGCGAATAAGTTTGGTGCCAACCTCATCGAGTTCGCTCTCCCTCTGCTCAAGATACCTCGTGGCAGAGATCCACACGGCGTCAAAATGCTTATGAGTCTCTTTACCCTTCTTCAGATAGGGCCTCAGATCGTGGATAATGCCATCAGCAAAACTGGTCTAGACAACGAAGATTGACAGTTCTCCTTGTCTGAACCCAACGGCAGTAGCATACTGATAGCGGAAGACCTCCTTGCATGAAATCTGATTGAGATTGACCAGCACTGACTCGCTGACTCGAAAGAACTCGACTGTATTCATGGGAAAAGAGAATGACCCTTGC